TAAAAAAAAATATTTGAGAAAAAACAAAAAAAAAAGCCCGCTGAGTTTGTTTCGCCGGTTCTTCTCAGGACTGTGGCTTTTTTTGGAACCGGTGGTAGAGCTAAAATTGTTATTTATATTTTGACATTCAACAAGTATGTCATACTGACATCTAAGTTGAAATAAATGATTTTGAATTTGAATTAGATTAAAGAGTGATGGAGACAATCATTGCAAAATACAATGCTCACATCCCTTCAACGTAACCATTTAATGGCTAGCAGCACTGAGGTTAGTGACCCATGTACGTACTTATTTGGAGCCGGTTAAGCTCTGTCGTATATTGATAGATTACCATTAACGGTTTTCTTCTTGCTGTGGTCAGGCAGAGAGGTGTATGGCCCATCTATGGTAGGCAGGGGAAGGGGGCCCAAAGATGTGAATGCGATGTTCATTTTAATCAACGAAATGAGATCAAAGTCTCATTTTATTTACCTTAATACATAATTGCATTAATTCAATTAGAGGTACTATTATTAGAGGTATTTTACTGGTGGTAGTACCTCTTGGGAGTTCGCACGGGTAGGTACCATCACCCTGCCTATTTCCGCCTTTCGGTTTGAAGGGTGGGGCAGCCGTTGCAACTACACCTTAGAACTTATATCTCAAGGTGGGTGGTGCATTTACTCTGTAGATGTCTATGGGTTCCAGTGACCATTTAACACCAGGTGGACTGTGAGATCGTCCATCTATCTAAGCAATAAAAACAACGGTACACGCACACTCAAAGCACCGACGAAAAGACAAACAAATGTATACATTGATAGTAGATACTGAAAGCTATTGATTGTATAGGGAACCTGATTTAAAAAAAATTTAACTATAGCATACGCGAAAACAAAATATGGTCATATAATTAAACATAGAACTATAAATAAAACAATTAAAAGAATACATGACATAAATTTTATTATTTATTTTACACATATAATATATTACACACACATATTTATTTTTAACTACTTAATATTATAATATAACATCAAATGATTGAAATTCGAAAAAAAAAAACACATTTTCCTTTTTATTATTGCCGGTTTTAAATTAAAAAAACCAACAATTTACATTAATTTTTGTTTTGAAAAAAAAAAACTTAAGTTCGTCCCGTCCATAGATTATAACCATTTTAGTTCTGATTTTATTTTCACATATTTTGCAAAAATTGCTAAAGGATATTTGAAAAAAAGTACCGCATAATTGCACAGAAACTCAATTATTTTCATCAAAAAGTAAATAAATTTTCGTAATTCTTTTCGTAAACTACTCAAATGAAATATGTATTTTTTTACAAACTGTATTTATTTAATAAATAAAAAATTGAACTGCGCAAGATTCGTCATTTCGACGCTTCGCACTTTATATGCATGAATAGAGTCTCTGTATCGACGGTTCGCGCTCTGAGAGTTAAACCAAAAAAAGCCGGCTTCGAAAATGATGAAGAAACTGCACTCAAGTGTTTTGTTGATGCAGGCACGATAGATAGTGTATACATCAGGGGACTGAAGACATCCCACTGTAAATTATAGGCTATGTGGTACTTTCCATCAATATACAAATATATTCCTCTATCACACTCACAATACCAGACACAACCAAAATCGATTTCACACGAAATTTTGACTAGTTAGTTATATTTGTTTAATTTTCAAAATAACTAATAAGTCTATCGATTATTTACAGAATATTTATACTCAAAGTTGAAATCATAGATGCTTAATGTCGTGACATATTATTATGGACTATAAGTTGAGGTTCATAATAAAACAGGGATTTTTTTTATTGCTTAGATGGGTGTACGAGCTCACAGCCCATCTGGTGTTAAGTGGTTACTCACGCCCATAGGCATCTACAACGTAAATGTGCCACCACCCGCCAATAAGCTCAGGTTACGTAAATTGACTGTCTTGGCTTTAGACTCTAGGATAATATTATCAAGCGCTTCAAATAATAAAACAATATTGTCCTTGCTTTTGCCTCTGCAATTAACACATACTGTATACAGTAATACAGCGTGTTTCTAAGGTCAAAGTGAATTCTGCAGTAATATCAAATTAAGTTGCATTTTGTGAGGCTTTACAAATCGCGTACTCAAGAATACGAATACACTTTAAACTTACGTTCGCTTAATTCTTATGATTGTTTCGCAAGCTTAATAAATTTTTTTTTAATGAACTCACAGGAATAAGCGCGAAATTAAAAGAGAACGCTTATTCTGATCACGTCCACAGCTCGTGAGAATTTTCGGGAACATCGAAATATTCTCATTCAAATTAGACTGTTCGTGTTTATATGTCTAGCTTATTATTTAACGACGCTTGCCCCAATTTTTGCAAATTGAAAATACTTATATTATGATAAGCTTACCACATGTTCGCGAATGAACTTCTATGATGATCGTGCAAGAAAAACCCGGTCAACGTTCTCGTCGAACCCGTCGCTTGCAACTAAGGGCTCGACGAGTAAATTAACCCTCAGAAACAGCCCACTGGGTTTCTCGCCGGATCTTCTCAGTGGGTCGCGTTTCCGATCCGGTGGTAGATTCTGCGAAGCACGTCTCTTGCTGGGGTTCGTGTTAGCAACGTCGTCAGGTTTGAGCCCCGTGAGATCACCTACTAGTTAAGATTACGCTGAAATAGCCTCTCAAGGCTAATAAGGAAAGGTAATAGTAAGGAAAATAAAAAAAGCAAGAAAAATCAAGTTTGCAAGCAATGTAGTTTGCGTAATTATAGATGGTATGTCGTCTTGTGAGCGATTGGGTAGGTGATGCCGCGTATTTCTACGGTAATTCCTGATTAAAAACTGGGACAGCTGGTATTCAATTGAGTCATACACTTATATCTACTCTTGCCCTGTTGGGTTTCAGAAATCAATTAAAATCAGGTGGGTAATGATTTCGCTCATGCGTCTCTGAAAAAAAAAAGGTATTTCCAGCATCGTTTGAATCGGCCGTTTCATTAAGCTCATGTCATGGCTTAGAGAAAAAAAAAACCCAACAAAGTGAATTCATCCCCAGAGGAAAACGTTCTGACCGATTTCTCACGAGGTCAAAGAACTTTACAAATACAATTAACATTGCTTGTAAACATTAGCCTAGTTGTTAATGAAAACGTTTGTTTACGTAACTGGTAGCATTCGTAACGATATTTTGGTATTAATTTTAGATTTACCAGCGGTTTTATTGTTTGTTTTTGTTAAACAATAAATTGCATTGTCAATATCTGACGCGAAGCAGTCATCTGTGTGCACAGCGTGAGCTTTTTAACGTTCTCGATAGCGTTAAAGTTAACTAAAATTTGTACGGATTTGGAGCGTTTGCCGCTAGGGGCGCTGTTCCAACTCCATACAAATATGAGTTAACTTTTACGTTATCGAGAACGTTACAAAACTCGCACTTACACACTATTTCGACTTGAAGAATGCAGCAATACTACAATACAATTGAGAATTCAATCTCACATTGTGATACACAAAATGTTGGGCGTCATTCATGCTCAATCGTCTAGACCAAAAATGACTAGAGACCTTGAAACAAAAACTTTGCAACCTATCTATGCTTTTGGATTTTAGCCGTAGGCAGTGGCTTGGCTCTGCCCCTGGTATCGATGTCCATGGGCGACGGTAACCACTCACCACCATTTGGGCCACAAGGGCACTAAAAAATAAAACTGGTCAAAGACACAACATAAAAATAATAAAATAAAATACAACCTAATTTACGATTTTCGAATTACGGACGGTAGCTGTCAAAAAGTCTAAATCGAACCGTAACTTTATAAAATATATTTGTGGAAAGATAAATTATTTACAAAGATAAAATAAATATAAAAGATCACAAACAAAACCATCACACGAAGTAAGCTTCTCCTCAAAAGAAAAACATTGGAATTATCTGTTAAAGGCAAGAGTATTCTAGTCTAACGCAGACTTAGCTTGGAATTAACTCATCTTTTCTATAACATTAAACTTACCTAGGAATTCGTCCCTGGTGGTAGAGAAAATTTACTGCCTAAAATTCTTTAAGAATTTTGAAGTCTTCTCCCCCACGAATTATGAACAATTGTTGGAGAACTCTGGGTACTTGTAGTAGCTTCAAGTGTTGAAAGTTTAAAATTGAAACCGACGAAAGTGTCCTTAATGCCGTTGAATAAAAAGATGTCATTGTAAAAGTCACAAAATATAACATGTCCTTGTATAGCTTTTGAAACTTGCTACGTAAAAAAAACAAGATAAAATATTAGTCTGTGATAAATTTTGTAAACATTCAAGGATATTATAGATTTATATACATCTTATTTAAATATAATGATATTATTATAAATATGATGATGAATCTTCGCCATCTAAAATCTATAATAGCCCGTACTGAGCAAAATCGTATTCTACAAATTTTACGCTATCTCATAATATATTTGGGAGAAGAAAACTAAATCTTTGGTAACATATACAACTTCAATTTCGTATACTAAAAATTTTTGAAGTGAAACTTCTTTAGGCGCATGAGGGTAAAATTTTTACAGAACGTCACGCAGGTATGCAACGGAAGTGACATCAAACTACTATTGAAATTAAGTACTTGTCAAATGTCAGTAGTAGTAGTTGTTGTATTTTTCCAACTGGAAAGGCAAATGTATCATACCATACAGCCTAATATTTTATATTTTTTTTTTGAAAAATGTTAATAGGAATTGAACTGAAATGAAAAGAATTTGGAACATTAATCAAATAGCATGAAATTAAATTAGTCAATTCAATTGGCAAAATATTGGTCATTTACAATTTATAAATCTAAACATAATGTGACTGTCAACACTGAGGTTTGAGATTGACATTTGACAAACTTTTGGCGGGAACATATCTTCCTTTTTCCCTTCCTCTAAGTCTCGGAAATCTAAAGTTTTAGATTTGTATAAATTCAAGCAAGACTTATAAATTAGTTCGCCAAAAAAGTTTCACTTCTGACATGTGTACTTTATACGCACGCACTTTTTTAATTACACTAGCCAGATTTATTTACACAGACGTTTCGATTTCATCTCGAAACTAGAAAACAGAATCGAAAAATCAGAACGCCACATTAAATTTCTTCTTGTTCTTAATTTGACAACTGTTCAAACTGCGATTAAATTTAAATTTCGGATCCTTACAGTCGTCGACCGTAAACAAATCACTATCGGTCGCTCTGTAATCATAGCAATCGCTGTGTCTTTCCTCCGTAGCTTCACCGTGACTCTTAAAGCAATCATAGTAAGGTTTACAATCGATGCTATTCGTGCTCCTCGCTATATAGTTCTCGACTCCGTTCTTCCTTATGTCGCAGACGAGTATGTCCTTCTGTCAATCTTTACAAGGGATATCGGTGGTCACCGTGAAACGTGTCGCGGTGTCGCTGATCGATTCGTCCCTGATTTTAGACCTGCGATTTCCGTTCATTGGCTCGATAAAAGACGTGTTCGTATTTTGAATGTAGTCCCGGTGAATGTTGTGGTTCGACGGTGACAGATGGGCGAGTCGATAGCTGACGCAGGAGTCGTGCCGTCGGACCGTGGTGCGGATGGTCCGAGCTCTAGAACTGCCGATTGGCTCAAACGAAGCCCCATTCTGTTCTGGCGCCGGCGTGGTGTGACAGCAGCAGAAACATTTGAAGTACGATCTGTGGAATTCGCGACGGAATTTCCCTGGAACAAAGGAGGTTTCGTTGTAAATTAATGCGGATTATGATTTTGGATATTATCCCGATGCTAACAGTGGTGGGGTGCTGGGGTGAGGTGTAGTTTTTATTGGTTTATATAGGTGAAAGAGAACGGTGGTACAGTGAGAAGTGAATCAAATTGTTGTTAACGACTGTTGTCTGTTGCATGTTTTAAGAGAAAACGCTAATGCTTTTTAGTCTATATAATTTACTTAGTCTGGCCATAAATACTGTTACAATTAAAAATAAACAAAATATTACATTTGAATTTAGAATCTGTCATTTTTATATGATTGCTCATTGAGTTTTCTCATTTTGGCGCCAATACATTGTACAATATTTTGCGATATTAAAATGGAGTGGGGTGTTAAAGAGAACCGAATCGCTGTGATTGCATTACACAAAGTAGGTATGGAGCCAAATGCAATTTTTAAAACTCTCCATACGCTTGGTATTAGTAAAATGTTTGTGTACCGGGCTATTAATAGGTGCAATGAGACCTCCTCTGTTTGTGACAGAAAAAGGTCTGGCCGTAGTGTTCGTACGAAAAAGGTGGTCAAAGCAGTAAGGGAAAGAATTCGAAGAAATCCTGTCCGAAAGCAAAATACTTTATCTGGGGAGATGAAGATAGCACCTAGAACCATGTCGCGTATTTTAAAAGATGACTTAGGACTTGCAGCTTGCTTAAATATTTCCTTATTTTTCGGGTGTTTTTTTTGCATGACAACGTGACTATTACCACCATCCTTGAGATATAAGAAATAAATCTCATTTGCGTTGACAGTACCAGTCTTCAAACCGAAACGTATGGCTGCTTCGCGGTAGAGCAGAATAATGAGACCTTGTTGCGTACGCCAACACCAGTAAATTACCATACGCTGATATATTTCTCACATAATGCTGCTATCGTTTCTCCTCTTAGTTTATTTTTAGGTCACGGAAGGAGATTTATGGCGCATTTCTATGTCCCTACGTAGCCAAAACATGGTCTAACTAAAATATAGCTCACTAAGCTTCTCGCCAGATCTTCTGAGTTGGTCGCGATTCCTATCCGATGGTAGATTCTGCAAAACACTGCTCTTGCTAGGGCTAATGTTAGCAAACTCTCTCAGGTTGAGCTCGTAAGCTTAGCTACTCGTTCACGTTAGGCGGGAATAGCCCCATAAGCTACTACCGAATAGGTAGGGATAGAAAAAAAAAGAACAGTCCAGAGATGAAAAGATCTCAAAATCGACAATAGGTAAGGTTCTGATATCTGACTGACCCTTTAATATTCTTATTGACATGATACTGGACTTAACTTCCATAGACCACTGAGCAACGATTATTTCTTCTATTTTTCTATTAATTTTCAAATTCAGATATGAGCTCTTTATAAAACTAAATCTTCTGGAAAATTCCAATTTCATATCACTAAAAGAATCAGAAGATCAGGTGTCGCTAACAATTTGAAGTTTCTTACTAATTTATTTAATAGTGTTAAGACACTTTAAGGTCGAGATGAAATCGTCCAGCTGAACAAATTTACTTGGAGCACACCTTCAAAAAGAAAATTTTAAATTGCGCAAAAATTTTCAAGAAACGGAGTTTAAAAGATAGTCCTAAGCAGTAGGCAGCGGCTTTGCTATATCCCTGGTATGGCTAACGCACACGAGTGACTATGACAACACATCATCACTTCCACCACACGATCGTCTACTTACAGTGGTAAAAATGCGAGAATTTTAATTTATACAGTAGAGCATAGAGCACGGAAGCTAACGGTAGTTGCAACATAATAATATGTACTACCTACCCTCAGATCTAAAGGCGGAAACTCAATTTTAGTCGTATATCTGCTATCCTACCCTTCCGAATCAGTACACTATGATTACTAGCCCGCAAAATTGTACGCTGATATCGGCCTTAAGAAATATATGAAAGAAAATGAGTCGAATATACTGTTTTATTATTAAAATTGGACAGAGATATCGCAGTTCGGGGTGGACTGTCACGCATTTCTTATGTTCGGTACGGACCAGTTTCATAAAACGTAATCCGTGTGCTTAGTGCGAGTTTTTTAACGTTCTCGATAGCGTAAAAGTTAACTCATATTTGTATGGAATATAATTATAAATATAAATATAAATATTTACTAACAATCACGCCACGTTAACTGGTCCCGTGGTAAGTTCGTAAAGAACATGTGTTACAGGTACCAGATAACGGAAATAAATATAATATTTTTAGTATACACATACATATATTTAATATACACCCATAGCCCTGGAAAGACATTTATATTTATCATACAAATATCTTCCCTTGGCGGGATTCGAACCCGCGACCCCCTTGTGTAGGGACCATGTCACTTACCACTACACCAGACGGCCGTTTAAAATGGAATGGGATCGTTTGCCTACGTTCACCGCTAGGGGCGCTGTTCAAACCACTTCACGACACGAGAACCCTCTCATCGTGGCCGCCGGTAACTACATTCCCGATCCTGTGGACAGAATGGAAAGTAGTCGACGTCGCCCCAAACACGACATATCGGATCCTCCCGATCCACTAACTGTGCTTCTAGGTACCTCAAGCACCGGTCATAGTTCTCGTCGAACCCGTCGCTTGCAACGACGGGCTCGACGAGTAAATTAACCCTCACACACAGCCCACTGAGTTTCTCGCCGGATCTTCTCAGTGGGTCGCAGTTCCGATCCGGTGGTAGATTCTGCGAAGCACGGCTCTTGCTACGGTTCGTGTTAGCAACGTCGTCAGGTTCGAGCCCCGTGAGCTCACCTACTAGTAAGCTGTTCAAACTTCATACAAAATTGGGTTAACTTTTACGTTATCGAAAACGTTAAAAAACTCGCACCAAACACACTGATCTCGAATTTTATATTCAGCGATTTTTGCACGTTCATTCGTGGAATCGAATCGACAAAGTTTAACTACGCGAAGTTTCACATTTCCACAGCCGTCGCACATTTTTGGGCAACCAGAATAAATTTGAGTGGCGAGCACGTTTTGAAAAAAAAAAAATGTCTCTTAACCCTGAATTCACATATCAGGTACGTATTCAGTGACATCGAAATTCTATTGGTTTTATTTTGCATAAATTCACTTGCCATATAGGAACAAAAACTTTTTTTTTTGTCTAGCCATTAAAACAAAAACACCTAAATTTCTAACTAACAATGATAGATATTGGCTCTATAAGAACTACCAAGCGATTTACGGTGAAGATGGTTGTTTGTTATAGCATAGCAAAGGCACATGTAGCATAAAGACCCTACGAGAATACAAAATTTTAGTGTACGACCTCACAGCCCACCTGGCGTTAAGTGGTTACTGGAACCCATAGACATCTACAACGTAAGTGCGCCACCCACCTTGAGATATAAGTTCTAAGGTCTCAGTATAGTTACAACGGCTGCCCCATTCTTCAAACCGAAACGCATTACTGCTTCACGGCAGAAATAGGCGGGGTGTCGGTACCTGCCCGTGCAGACTCACCAGAGGTCCTACCACCAGTAATAGAGATGAGTCTAATTAGAAAAGGCCCGCGTTACATAGTTCTGGCCCGAGATCTATCGTATCGTTAGTGTGCGGATAATACATTCAAACCCACGCGTTTTTTTCACTCTTTCTTACGAACTGTGTCGTCATCAGGAAAAAAGCCATCGTGATCTGTGTTATAAAACACCTGGTGAGGGACGACAGTAGGCCGGAACTCTAGTCTTTGGTCAGTTGCCAATTTCCATATTAAAATACGTAAGTTTTTTCGATAAAGAAATAATATAATTTAATCAATATAATCGAGAATTTTACTCTATGTCCGAAAGTGTGACCTAGTACCTCTATGAATCCACCAGTAGGATCATCAATACATACAACAAAAACCGTAACTGGTCGCTGTCTGTACATGGAAGATATCTCAGAAAAAAATGTTATTGGGGGCTTTATGAACGCAATTGAACCCAAAATAATGATTTTTAGAATTTTTGTCTGTTTGTCTGTGCGTTTGTGCACGCTAATCTCAGAAACAGCTTATCGGATTTAGATGTGTTTTTCACTAATTTATTGTGGTAAACTTTATGATAAGCCTAGCAACCTATATGCTTTGATCCCCGATGGCTATACGTGTAATGTCGTGTATAGAGAAGCATTACTTTATATTATATTTTCTAACTACCCAAATGATGGTGTTTATACACCAAAAGATATGTCCTAAAATGCTGCCCTAAGTCGCCATTCCATGCGGACGGAGTCGCGCGCACAGCTATGATAAATATATTCAAAAGTCTGGTTTGAGGATGAGCGAAATTTATTTTGTTATAAAATACGGGTTGTGAATTTCAATTGCACGAATTCAAATGTTGTGTCATGTGTGCAACAGCTAAATAGAACAACAAAAATAAGTGTATCCATAGGTGCGTGCGTTGTATTGGAAAGTGCATCTAATTGTTTCCACTAATTTAGTACTACTTAAAAAATGGCCGATAGATTCCTTATTTAAAGAGACAAAGAGGCTTAAGTCTTTTATTAAAAAAGTCAATATATATTAATAATAGTGTAATGGCCTAAAATAAATTAATTACCAAAGGCACCTACCTATCATAAATACCTCTAAGAGATTAGAGAATGGTCTGCAATGTTTTCAGGATGTATGTATTCTGTAGCATATTTGCTGTGCTAGCATTTACTGATGTTACGGCTTTTTTTTTATTGGTTAGATGGGTAGCCGAGCTCATGGCCAACCTGGTGTGAAGTCGTTACCGGAACCCATAGATATCTACAACGTGAACGCCACCACCTACCTTGAGATATGAGTTCTAAGGTCTCAGTTTTTAAATTACAAAGGCTGCCCCATCCTTCAAACCGAAACGCATTACTGCTTCACGGCAGAAATAGGCAGTGTGTTGCCTCACACCCGTGCGGACTCACAAGACGTCCTACCACCAGTAAAAATGACATCAGCGTGTTGTGTGACTATACGGATAAGTA